GGTCATATATCGAAAATTTGTAATCAGATTGGTGTGAAATTGGTGTTGAGGGTTTATTATAGACATTGACCTGAAGTACATACCACTTTTACATGTTTACTGTATGTGCTCCTTAAAACATTTACTTTGATATATTGCAGACAATCTCATTTGAATACCATCTGTATTTAAAATACGCGACAATTCAAACTCCTATTTCCTTAATTTCTGTTTTCTATAAAACTATTCCCACCAGATTTCATATTGTAATAAAATCAAAACAGTCAATGGGCGAAGGTTTAGACTTCATTCTATATCTAGACTAGAATTTTGTAGAGTATCAGCCACATCATATATGCGTAAACGAATAATAATTGCATTTACAATATGTTCGAGTGCGAAAACTGTCACCTTAAAAATAATTGCAACACGTTAGTTAGTCTGATTTACGACAAAGGTAAACATGGTAAAATTTGGTATTTAACCAACAATAATACCGTATCTTTATATATCTGCTAAAACATTCATTCAGCGAGTAAAATGAATAAACCATAATATTATGTCTGCTCCAATATTTTCATACGTGTGACTTCTCTAATAGTAAGAGCAGGGAAAGCAAAACCCAGACGACAAGACTGCGGACATGAAACGAAATGTTCTGCGTCTAGCGGGCTGACGAAGAGGAGTATACGCCATGCAGGCAGTGTACTATGAGGGAAAATTTGCTCGGACAGCGGCACTACGACATACTCTTATTCCAACTTCAAGGGTACTTTTAAGTGTATGCGTCCCATCCGGACGACTAAACACTGTCGCTTGCCAGACTCTCCGTCCTGGCGCCACTGATAACGGGAAACCGGACCGGAAAATCCCGCGAAACTTTCGCGTCCAACACCGGGAGCGAACAGTTTAGTGAGCCAGCGTCTTACCACCGAAATACCTAATTTGAAAAGCGTTTGCGGTATTAAAGTAAAAGTGAGATATAAGTACGTACAGATATAATGGATCATTATCGTCATTTGCACGTGTTAATTTCTTACAGGGTAGTTAAAATAGATATCTCGAAAAAGTGATATAGTCAAGAATCCACCAGGGTAAATACGTCCGTTTAAATTAGGCAAAAAACGTTTGAGCTCTTCTCGGCATTACCAGGCCACAAATCAACGTATCTGGTAGTCAATTACATGATCCAAGACTGATCGAATAGTTTAAAAATATATCATCTACGCTTAAGAATGTAAACAGCGCATTGTTGTTTGCAATTATGTTAAACAGTTCTGAAAATGTCGCATTTTCTTCGTCTTTATAACCTAAAATAATACCCAAATTGTGTCTGGCTATGGAATTGGACCAAATTATAAGAATAAGCCATTTAGGCTATCCAGTTTCGTTTTCTGATCTTTTACGCCTGTTAACAGTTTTAACAGTTTCCTTCTTATTTCTTCGAGAAAAAAATACTTATTTGATAACCAAAAGAGCTGGTTGTGCATTTCAAAATCTTTTAGCTAAAGATGTTTAAGTTTTCTTCGTCTTTATAACCTAAAATAATACCCAAATTGTGTCTGGCTATGGAATTGGACCAAATTATAAGAATAAGCCATTTAGGCTATCCAGTTTCGTTTTCTGATCTTTTACGCCTGTTAACAGTTTTAACAGTTTCCTTCTTATTTCTTCGAGAAAAAAATACTTATTTGATAACCAAAAGAGCTGGTTGTGCATTTCAAAATCTTTTAGCTAAAGATGTTTAAGTTTTGAAATTTTAAACAAATTTCCTTTCATGTCATTCAAGTGACTAGTTATTTATCAAGACCCCAAAGTACAGAAAATCTAACTGGTGTTGCCTTAAAGAACTCTCTGAGCAAGCAATATCGTTTCTAGGTTGCAATAAATGCCAAGATACAGAAGTTTTTTTTCCTATTCACAGATTTCCCATCGGAAATAACAGCTACAGAAAGTTAACCTCAGTTTTCTTGGTTTTGAAGTTGAAGGCGAAGAAGTAGAAGTTAAATGAATTTGGCGACGGTTGTGTCATGACATCTCGTAAATTGATTCTTGTTCTGTAAAACATAGTAATTTGTCTTTTCTATTGCTGTGTAGGTTTATAAGGAAGTCGACATTTGTTTTGACAGTTAACATGAATCTAGAGCTGCCTTGAGAATTGCATAATAAACTGGGCACGGGATTTAGGTTTATTGATTTCAACCCAATGAGTTTAATACTGAGTTTTAATATTGAGACTGGCCTAGATATGTTCACTATCTATAGACACTATCAAATCCACCAGAAACAAACACGAATATGGTCATTTTTATTTCAAATTAAGCCGTTACCCACATAAATGAAGACACACTGTAATATTTTTATTCAACTATATTAATAAACTGTTTTCTTAAAACGTCGTTATTAGCCAATTTCTATTTATTTCGTTTCCATTCTGTTACTCTCGCAATATAAGTGGAACCGATGATTATGAAAACATAATCATTAAGTGCCATTTAGCGATTGAGGAACACATTAACAGAACTCAAATTTCATGGGAAACAATCACTGGTTTTATTCCAAAAAAAGAATTGCTTGTGGATCTGAAATCGTAAATCAATCGCTGTGTATGCGAAAGCACGCAACAAAGGGCCATTTTTTGTTTGACCAATCAGCGCAAGCTAAAATATTGCGTGGTTGCCTAAATTGCTCGTAACTTTATAACAAGTGTCTAAAATTTTCACTTTGTAGTTTACCCACATTATACCCATATAACCGAGCAACGGTATTTCTCCTAAACGAAAGTATTTTTCTGTTGACTACCAAGTCCAACGGAATAGATCATATATTTATTTTATAATAAATTAGATTATCCAGTTTTGAATTCCGAGCTGAAATGAAATGAGGTTTAATTTCTCTACTTTTCTGTCGACTGGGCTAATACTGATGGGGGTTATATACACGCCATACAGTGTGCTGCATGGAACATTTTGCCAGAACAGCGGCGTTACGGACTTCTCTTATTTCGAATTCTAACTGCCACACTGGGGTATTACGTGAATGTCAATTTGAATCCCAAATTCCTTTGTTGATTAGTCTTTAACTATAAGAAGTTTAGTACATGATATGTTTGAAGAACAATAAAAGTATCATATGAAGTGTTGACCTCATCGGGAACCAATACTGTGATACGTACCGTTAATTGAAGCCGAATTTCATCCGAAATCGTGTTTTGTAAGACTTGTATCATTACCATTTTCCACGTTTTATTTAACATAATTACCTATGATTTCATTTATATTTATAGGCTTAGATAAATGTTTTGTTTGATCTGTAAATATAACCAATCTTTTATTAAGACTCTCCAGATAAGGGGCGAAACTGGACTTATGTTCGTCGTTAAAGTTATGACCCATACGACGAATATTCATTACATTCAGATTGTTGGATTCGGAATAAAAACGACAAGTTATTAGTGTATTATATATCCGTTTGATATTGAAAAGGAAATGATTAATTTGTAGCTGAAGAGGTTCTAATGATAACGCTACATAAAATGAAATGAATAAATTAGCTTCAGTTTGGTTATTCTTAAAGATAACGGGAAATGACTTTATGAAGTTGTGAACTCATATGACCTTTAACGCGTGTAAGTGGTGCTACATGCAATTCGGTTGATTATTCCATGTCCAATTTATATCATGTTGCTTAAACAATGCCATCACCTTTCTGTCTCGTGGATCTAGTAAATATCTCACAGTCACAATATATTTCACGATGGTTGTAATTTATAAACACAATAACTTACTATTCATTTCAAGACAAGAGTATAAGGATTGTTTACTTTCCCCTTGGTTAATTCTAATGAAATTTGCACCAAATGAAGGACGTTAATGATTTTCTTTCGAAAATGTGCAGAGTTTGGGACTTTTTGACACTAAAGGACACATTTACCTGAATCCCACAGGGGGTTATGCGTAGAAGAACCCATTTCATTCAAAAATCGATACAGTGAAACAAAATGAAAATACATTATATTATATTAGCATTCAAAACAACAATAGATGTGTCTACTTATTGAAAATCCAATCAATACGTATTTTGTACAGGTTATATATGTGGATAGTTCACACATAATAAATCTTATAAAGACACAGCGATGAATTTGCAGATTCATCCCTGATTTCGTATACTATCTTATTTGAACATCCCCGATGTATAGCTGTATACGAGTAGTCAAATCACGTTCAATCAAAAAAATGTATTTTACCGACCGCTGCTAATTTCTCTTTTAACACAGTACCAGAAATATAGAATGTGGTTAGTGTTTAACAGTGACTTATTATTAGCTTTGGAATAAATGGACTTTCCATCATAATTTTGCTAAACAGGATGACTTTAGGTTTCTAATCCGTTATTACCCCTTTATTTACAGTAATAGACCACATTCCCAGCTCACGTGACAATACGAAGAGAAAACAGCAAAATGTCAATTTATCGATATATCAGCCCATTTCGACCTATCTACTTCCTGCTATATCTGATTAAACTTCAAGATTCCTGGATTTATAACCGAAACATGATGCCATTTTGTTATACAGAATTTCAATGCAAATCTCGAAATCGTCAAACTTAAGCTAAATCTTAATAAGTATCACACAGAGAAAATCATTTCCGCTGCTGAACAAATGTGCACAAATATCATAACCTACTCGCGATTTCATTAAGCAAATATTACATTTTCTTTAAGGTTCTCTAATTGTAGACCAGTCATAATTTCCCAAAATACTTACGTTTTGAATGATAAATTTATCTTTTGCGCACTGAGGTAAAAGTAATTGGGAAATATTATATTATAAAAATTGTGTCTTGATGAAAGCATAGACTCATGAAAGATGTTTGGAAATTAATATAGACCCAATATTAAGCTCTGTATTATGATATATCAAATTTAAGAATTCAGACGAATTTCAATCGAAGAATATCCAGTATTTATTTTCTGGACACTAAACTAAACAGATTGAACTGACACAATTTTAACAGTAATTTATACATTTATAATTTATTAAGGCAATTGTATAATACATAAATCGTGTGTGACGTATATATCTCTGAGTGGGTTAAATCTAGTTTTTCGTTAGTATTATTGTGGTGGAAAATGAAAGCAGTAGTTGTGGATTATAGTAATTATACTGTTGGTCATTACACTGTCCAAATGGGTTTGCTTGCTCCTTCCCGACCATCTGCTAGCTCTGGAGTTATCCATGAATTTCACATGGCTAATGTTTTCTATGAACATTACTACTAGACTATTCACTATATCAATTTTATAAAATATTGATTAATTCTTTATAAACAAAAGCACTTCTAGGTCTTATATACATGTAGTTTATACGGACGTAAGAATGCCACGAAAACACATTCAATTTTGCATTGTATAAATGCTCTTTAGATTCGTAATTATATTCAACAAGTCCTTAGTTTCGTAATTAAGTTCAACAAATCATTAACAAACAAGTTTTGTGCCTATATTTCCATCACCGTCTTTGATTTTCTAATGAAAGGGCAGAATGTTTTAATGAATAACGTTCTAAATCTTTGGCCCAATAAACAGTAGAAAATAAAATCGGTCGCGGCGTTTACACACAACATTGTGTCGCCTATGGACAGCAGATAATATCTGGTAGCTTCGGCTAAAAGATTGGGTTTAGCCAAGATAATAATGTTATAAACCAACGGAACAAAACAACACACGAAAAAACACCCTGTGATTCCAATCACGAACGATATCAAACTGTCCTCTTTTCCAGTTGGATTCCTCATAGATGTTGATTCGCGTCTCTGTTTATTCTTATTGTGGTAACTCAGTTTTATGGTAGTTTTTCTGCTTTTTTTTAAGGTCATTAACAAACGTATGTTGAGTATAACGATCAGTGTATAAGGTATCAAGAAATATAGTATGGTCGTCAAATAAATTTCATATACTCGCATATATAAAAAGTTGTAGTTGTCAGATGGAATGGAATCGTTGGCTGTTACATTCATTGGGGGTGTAATTATTAACGAACGCAAGCATCTCGGTATATTAAAGGCCACAGAGAAAATAAATACACCAATCATGAAATTGCGACTGTTCGATAAAGTACAAATAATTCGAGCTTTCATCGGGTAGGCTACGGCAATAAATCTTTCCACGGTTAAAATTACAGTAGCGTAAACCGACCCCATTTGAGCAATATTACGAATGGGATAAAAGGCAGCAACGATATGAAGTAGTGACATGGACATCGATATGGTATTTAATCCAACTACAGCTGTCACTCCGGTAGCTACCAAAAATACAGTATCGTAAAGAGCAAGACATATCAACAGCACAGCAGTAGATGATCGCATGGACCGATGCGCTAAAACTATCACTGAAAGTATATTACCAACAACTCCAAAACACGCCAAGCCGATTCGCACCACTCCTAGAGCGAAAAATACCCGATATGAATAAGACTCCATTTTTTTATCAACATGAAGAATTCTTAATACGTTTCCTTTTATTACGTCGAGGATTTAGTTCACAAGTTCAATTACCAAATCCAATCACAAAGTTTAGATTTAAAACACAAAAATGACGGCCTTCCATCTCAAATGATTAGAGTATGTATTAGTTTCAAATAACAAAAATAACCCGAGAGATAAATCACTTCCGAATTTATTTCGACAATTTGTTGAATCGGAATCTTGCGTGTCACTTGCAATAGTTTTTCCTCGTATTAAATAACTGAGTTGGTCTATTCTGTGGTAATGATAGTTTCCGTAACTAACATTTATGATTTTACTCTATATATATATATATATATAAATACATACTCCTGTCTATATTCTGGAATTGTAAATATGTAATTCTCCTGTCATAATCCTTTTATCATCGAGTTCAATCTACAGATTTATTGGACTCTCGTTAATGGAAGATTGCTGTAAAAAGGGCAATATATCCTAAATTATCAGCCTTGTTGCAAGATACGATAAATTTAGCACGGATCTTCAGAATTCTTCAAACACTCCTTCCCGTAGAACATTACTCGTAGACCCGATAATGATTTTAGCTTTCTTACATGTAATTGTGTAATAGAAAACTTAAATTGGAGCCGAACACATGTACATGTCCCGCACCGAATTACTTATTATTCCAATAAACGTGTTTCTGCTAGACGTAAATGTCTGCTTATTTCCGATCGTGGTGTTTGTTTATTATTCTGTGGAAGTCATTACGAAATACCAACGGATACTGTGGCTCTTGAAGTGGGATTAGTTGAAAGTCAACAGGCTCTCAGTATTTCATCCCAGAACACTTTGTATGATCCAATCGTCTTAACACAGTCATTAGAGTACTATTGACGCAAATGGTAATTTGAGATAAATCCAAAGCCAACAGTTATATCTACGGGAGCAAATTATCATAAATTGTTTAAAATCCACGTTGACACAGTTTCAAAATATGTATATTAATCCCAAGTACAACATTTGCTCTCCGATGGAGGGTTACCTTATCAGTTCACTGTCTGTATGGTCAGATGAGGGTATTATGAACGGCAGATGTAATCTGTTATATTGGACAACTGTTGACAGTTTCCTTGTCACTTCGATCTAGCTGTACACACCTGTGAATATCAAACAATATTTCATTAATGTCACGAGTTTTGTAAGTATATTAAACTGTTGAATGAATGTATATCTACTTGCCTTTCTATAAGCAACGTCACTTCCTGGTTGTATTTTCGTGCAAGTGTCGTTAGCCCGGTCATCGTACATGCACTATGGAATGATAGGATAATGGCAGATATATAATGGAAAGGAAATGGGTTATTGTGTTATTTTCTATAGTCACGTGCAAAGGAAGAAAACGTAAGGTGGAAATTCCTTTCTGCCCTCGCCTGAATTTGAAAACCAGTTCCTTCTTATTAAACATAATAAAAGACAATACTATGACTAGTATATGACTAGAACACAGTCCTTGAAATTTAAAGATATAATGCTGATTTGAAAGAACACGGAACCGGGAACCAAACAGGGGGCGGATGTCTGCAGGTCCACCAGGTTCCTCCCACTGCCAAGGAAAGAGTCCTTGAAATAAAATTGAACCATATGTTAGTCTCGAAGGTGCGATTGATATTGACATGTCCTTTTGGGGTTTCAGGCAGAGAAGCATACTCGACCCTGGAACAAACTCCGATTACGGTCATATTTGAGTTTTATATTTGGTGTTAGCAAATTAGCAAGATACAGCATATTAAAGATACATTATGGGAGATTTTAATAGAGAGTTGGCCATTCTTGCTATAACAGTCCAAAATTACATGATGCAAGATGAATATATTGAAAATTTCAGTCAAATTACTTTATTCTGAACAAAGTTATCACCATTGTAATTTTTAACTAGAAATAGGAGTCAACTCTCTCTTCACCGTCTCCGAGAATGGCCGATCGTTTGATTGACAGGCGTTAACTCCATCTACATAATCTCGATTATCAAGTAACGTTTTCAATGGCGGTGGTACCATTATCCTATTCGATTCGAGAAGTTGTTGCAATTCAATTCGTAAGAATTTTAATATATAGATAAGAAGCGAAAGCTTGAAAGGAATGGACCAAATCAATGAGGCATAATTGTAGCCGACTTCTTGTTAGCCTGCATGTACTCTTGTACTGGGGGTGGGGTGGGATGGCCGAATGGTTAGCACGTGCGTGCTGTATTATACGGCCTGTTATTGAGTCAACTGGCGTGGTTTCGAATCCCCGGTTGTACGTGACAAAGGGTAGGGTCGCCTGTCCAATCTCGTGGCTTTTCTCCGGGTCCTCAGGTTTCCTCCCACTGCTAAAGACCCCTACGCGCAAGCGAATTATTGAAATAAAATTAAAAACCATATGTTAGTCCCGAAATGACCTAGTTTGTGTCGAGTGGACGTTAAACCCCATTTCTCTCTCTCTCTCTGTCTCTCTTGTACTGTAACTGGTAGGCCTACGTAACTCCCGAAGCAGACAAATAGGAAACAGTGATCCAATGGGGCTGCAATTCAACTGGGGTGATGTTAGCTGCGATGTTGATCAATTTCCATAATTTTTCTGTAAACGCAAGTGACAACAGAGCGTATAATACCGACATCTAAACTCTCATTTTAACCACAACTAAACATAATATCAAGGCCGTATATATCGAACTTTCAATCAAATTGACTGACATGCGGCCTCGCTCAACAGCGGCCTCGCTTCGTGCACTCTATCATTTAGCCTCGATCTAAAATTTCCGGGAGTATGACGTCAACGTAACGGTTAATCTCCGCTTACGACGTCATTTAAAAATTTAATCAATCGATGAAATCCTGTTTAAATCCAAGCCATTCGTGGGTCTACAGAGTTGATTTTGTGCTTGTTGTGTTAATAAAGATCTAAGTTATAATTTCTATGGCATATGAAGCCCAAATAAAGACTTGCAATAATCAGATTTAGCTCTTGCATAATGCATGTTTAATCAGTTACAGCCATCAATTTTGAAATGTCGTATGTCAAGGATTGGTGTAGTTGATATTGGTTAGTTATTTGTGACCATTATAGCAGGACACCCCAACCATAGCTACACCCGTTTCTGAAAAGCCACAATCTTTGACAAATTGGAAAGAATCGGACTGTTGGGAAGATTCAGTAATCTTCTGTACTATGGCCATAATTTATGTCGTCGATTAGGTTACATCATCAAGCTAAGCTTTTTTATCAATAGAAAGGATAAATCGGTTGATATTGAACTGGGTCTTACTACATAAAATAATATACAGAACCGTATTCCTTTAAGAAAAAAATTGAATGTGAGCAGGTGGTGTTTCTCAGACTGGCGTTTCTTTCCGTGAAAGCATTATATTTTTGGCAGCAATGACTTATTACTTGCGACTTTTACTTCCGTCGAAAACATTTGGTAATAATTTTTTGAGTATTGTTATATAATTTACAGAATTTATTTCATGTAACATCTAACAGGCAAAAAGCGATTGGACAAGAAATGAGGCGACATAATTCTGATTGACCATGATGAAACTGTTATCTGTTATATAGACATTTTGAAAGACCTTGTGCCATGTTAGCATAAGAATAGAGGAATCAATACCAGGGAATTTTTACAGCATTATTAAAATTGTTAGATCAGAATATATAAACGTTTCCCATTCAATCCGTTATTGCTCTTTTTGTTATTAGCACGTTATTGCTTTCTTGACATAAATCGTCGAAGACAGACATGAGCAAGTAAATGGGTGAGTTTTTTAGTAGCTGGTTTAATATCCCCTTAATCTGGATTTCATAGCTTAGCTCTTCTATGTGATCTTTAAAACGAATACTACACGAACAGTGTAATTTTCTGTATGGCAATTGCTCATCGGAGGGGGTGGTGAAATGAAATGAAATGTAATGGGGTTTAACCTCCTACGGTTCTGCTCCGACTGGGCCAATGACGACGGAGGGGGTGGGGGCATTAGTGCGTTTTATAAGGTCTGTCATTGAATCAAGTAGCATGGTAACCTCGAAGCAAACTGGCGTACGCTTTGTTATGTTCAAACCTACGCCATGTTAGAACTTTCTATGTATATTTACCCAGTGGCGTACAGAGAGAGGGTGGTGACGGACCCGGGCAACCAATTCAGAGTGGCATTTCAATCAAAGAGTAAAACTTATAATTTTTATACGCCCACATTTTCAAGTTTATAACCCAAAGATCTCAGTTCTTTTGGATATTTGTGCATATCGAATTGTAATTTTCTGAATTATGGCCCTTGATTGTAGGAAAAATCACTTTCTTTTTAGCTTGTTCTCTATCCATCTTTCGAAAATGTGGGCGTATCCTGCCTGGCAGCCGCTGTTTTTTTTTTATCAAACTACTCTTATCTTTATCAAACAAGCTACGTAGCCATGTCATAAGTTCCGCGATTGTACCAAAAATCGATTGTACCTAAAGCTGTGTAAATCCGTACAATACACATCCGTTTTATTTTAAGAACACAATTATTAAGCAGCTGGTATACAAAATCGAATTTCATGTAGATTTTATTCTAATGCCAACCACATTATAGTAAATTTACGTAAGAGTCTAGGAAAACTAGCTTTATCAGTTTATTATTAGGTTCCTGTCCTTACTATTTCCGCGGATTTTGTCTAACTCGTAAATAATCAAATTGAACAAAGTAGGCGCAGATTAGACGTTAGACTTGAAGAATTATGTCTACTGTTGGTGTGCCTCTGAAGTATGTGATCGACGATTACTTGATGCCTAAAACCTCGTGGGTTTTCTCCGGGTTCTCCGGTTTCCTCCAACTGCTAAAGACCCCTATGCGCAAGCGAATTATTGAAATAAAATTAAAAACCATATGTTAGTCCCGAAATGACCTAGTTTGTGTCGAGTGGACGTTAAACCCCATTTCTCTCTCTCTTGATGCCTAAAAGGTACTAAGTTAAACATTTGGTCTTATAACACACTGCCGCCAGGACAATACGCATCTTTTGGATCGCTGATTTTAAAGTTTTGGTTGAATTCTAGATTTCTGTATTAATATGTTTCTTCTATATTTTTATAAAATATAGATTATGATCAGCTTTTAGATTAAAATTAGAATCTACAGAATCTTCAACGTTAATTCGACTATATATCTGCCATGATTATTTGTCTATTGATAGGCTATATACATGCGTGGATCATCTTCTATAAATCCCCATTTTTACGGTATAATTTTATACGTGACCACGGAAGCCACGCTAGTTCGGTGAGTAAGGCGCTGACTCACATACCAGGGGTACAGGGGTTGATCACGGAGTATCCATGGACATTGCTGAATGATGGAGGGTTAAGCAAGGTATAGTGTCTAATCGTTCGGGCGAGACGAAATACCAAGTTCCCGCATACACATAGTCGTGCATGTAAAAGAACACTTGACAGTTCGAAGAGATCGTAGCGCCACTGGTCGGGGAGTTTTACCTATACCGCATACAACATCCCATCTTCATTATCCCGGTTGGCGCGGTAAAATATTAAACCCCGTTTGATTACATTTTACATTTCAAGCTTTAGAATTGTGTGTTGAGACTAACATTATTACATACTGTATATATGTATCTGCACGTACCATGGTTGTGTGCACAAGGTAGTGATGTTGGGTGGGAGATCAAATCGCATCATGATAAGATACACTTGTTCATTGTAATCTACCTTGATATGAATTATGACTATTAATATTTACACAAGCTTTCTACCTTCATATATCTTGTGTTGGTTAGTGTTATGTCTACAGCTCATATTGCCAATTGAAAGGAAATTAACAGGGGTGTTAATGGGGGTTTATCTCATTGCTTTACGCTATTCGGTTGTGTTTGTCTTAAAATCGATCGTGGATTTGGTTAATTATGTTTATGTTTTGACTAACAACAATGTTTTTGACTCTAGTATAATCAGAAATGTGTCATTAAGATTGTTTTGCAAAAAAGGGGTATTCTTGTTTTAAATAAATTAGATAAAAATAATAAACAAACTCTGTGTTTCAATTAGCAGAAACAAAAATTTCTTCATTATTGCTAAATATTATTTAACGATATGACATAACGTTAATTAACATATTTTTAGGTAAAT